CACCATTATTAAGAGAGCCAACATGCTTACACTTGACTCAATTGGGAGACTTTTTGATGCAATTAATTAAGTCATATATGAAAAGCATATAAGTAATTGAGTCAAGACACAATTAAAAATTGAGATTTTGGGAATTAAGCAAAGCCAGAATTGTAAAATTTTCTAAGGTTACACGATTAACAATGCATAAAATCACGTGAGTGAATTTAGGGAGGGTGGTTTTATATAGTTGGGAATGAAAAAAGACCGTGCAGTGCAGGTATACTTATCTCTTAAGTCCTGAGCTTAGGAATGAGTGAAAGCGTGCATTTAGAGAGGATGTGCATTTATGGATGAGCATTTAGGGGTTGACTGTAATCCTTTTTTTTTATATTTTTTATCAGCTTTTTTTTTTATGAATTAATAAAAAAAATTACATAATGGACATTTGATTCATTGGCTGTTGATCATCACAAATTTATCACACAAAAATCAAATTTTATTGGTCAATTTGTATAATAAAAATAAAAAAGGAATAAATAAACGTTTTATAACAAGTAAAATTTTAGTATAATATTTCATTCGAATGTTTTAATACATAGAATTGGTTTTTTGTTATACAGTCTATCTAATATATTATCATGGATTTCATTTATCCAAATTACCAAATTGATAAAATAAATAATAAGGTCAGTATTAAAATAAAGCGATAAAACAAACAATTTTATCCAAAGATTTACGAGTAACAAATTTTCTAAAATGAACCAATACAAACAATTGATAGGTTATTTGCCCAAATGTTTGCGAGTAACAACCTTTTCCAAGTTTCAATAAACAAACAATTGATAGGTTATTTGTCCAAATTTTTGCGAGCAACAAAATTTTCCAAGTTATTAATAAACCAACAATTGATAGATTATTTATCCGAATGTGTGCAAGTAACAAAATTTTCCAATAAAAATTATTTTGCCACAGCGGATTCATAACTACATATGTACTGTTTTTGTCCTCCTTCTGTCAAGCCTGCCTTATAAGAAGTGGTTTCTTTTGCAAAAAAAAAAAAAAAGGACCTATGGTAAATCTTTGTACAGTTCACTCTATAATGAACACCAAGTAAAATATCTCTATAACGAACATCTTAGCAAACACTCTATAGTGAACAAAGGCAGAAAAATTACATATATGGAGGGGCGAAAGGTTAGTTATAGATAGAATGAACTGTATATTATTATTTGATATTAATAAAATAAAAAATAATTAGCTCCTAATTTTTATTATGAGATACTTGTAGTGATACATAATATGGGAATATTGCATTTTGTGTCAACGGGACATAAAAGTTACGTGATGAAAATTTTTATAGCGATATTACTAATATATACAATTATTGAATTTATTACCTTATTACCCGCAGATCGTCTATTACTATATAAACACAGAACTAGGACCCCCTAATGATATCGACCAAATCTTTTTTTTCCAACTAGTCTTTATAATACATTCTACATTTTTTAAAAAATGCCGCCAGCAGCAGCAACTTCAAAAAAACGAATTAGGGATGGTATGTCCTTAAGGAAGATATTCACTCAAATTTAGTTTTTATAGTTTTATATAGTTGTATTTAAAAATCAAAAATAAACAATATAGAATCGATCACTGCCATGTTTCTTTTTCCTTGATCTTTTTTCTAAAAATATAATATAAAAATTTCCTTTTGTAAATAAATATTAACAAATAAATTATATAGATGGCGAGTATACCAACTCTTCAATCAGTTTAAATCCAATCAAAAGGGTTCGCAAACAATCAAAAAATGCAACAGTTTCGGCTACGCCGACTGACCACTCTGAAGATGAGGATGAAATCATTACCAGTATATTTTCACTATCAAGTTACTTTTAAAAATATAAAATTTTCTTGATATTAAAATATTGATAAATAATTTCTTATTAAAAAATATTAAATAATGAAGAAATGGTCCCAAAGATTGCAGCTTTGGATCCGAATTCATTTGCAAGCTCAGAAACTAGAGAAGCACCTCAATAAACACAGAACTAGGACCCCCTAATGATATCGACCAAATCTTTTTTTTCCAACTAGTCTTTATAATACATTCTACATTTTTTAAAAAATGCCGCCAGCAGCAGCAACTTCAAAAAAACGAATTAGGGATGGTATGTCCTTAAGGAAGATATTCACTCAAATTTAGTTTTTATAGTTTTATATAGTTGTATTTAAAAATAAAAAATAAAAAATATAGAATCGATCACTTCCATGTTTCTTTTTCCTTGATCTTTTTTCTAAAAATATAATATAAAAATTTCCTTTTGTAAATAAATATTAACAAATAAATTATATAGATGGCGAGTATACCAACTCTTCAATCAGTTTAAATCCAATCAAAAGGGTTCGCAAACAATCAAAAAATGCAACAGTTTCGGCTACGCCGACTGACCACTCTGAAGATGAGGATGAAATCATTACCAGTATATTTTCACTATCAAGTTACTTTTAAAAATATAAAATTTTCTTGATATTAAAATATTAATAAATAATTTCTTATTAAAAAATATTAAATAATGAAGAAATGGTCCCAAAGATTGCAGCTTTGGATCCGAATTCATTTGCAAGCTCAGAAACTAGAGAAGCACCTCATGATTCAATTTCTCGTTTTTTTGGAAAAGATGATTTTTCATATATCAAATTAAAAAAAGATCATACAAACAGACCTTTATGGATAAATCCTGTAAATGGTCATATAATTCTTGAAGGTTTCTCTCCTTTCACAGAAAAAGCTCAAGACTTCCTTATAACTATTAGTGAACCTGTTAGCAGGTAGTAATAAATTCATCGATATAGTATTTTTTTTATTTTTTTTTTCAAACGCTAAATTTTTTAAATTTGATTAACCAATAAAAAATCTTTTAATAGACCATCACATATTCATGAATATAAATTGACTCCTTACTCTTTATATGCAGCAGTATCTGTTGGGTTAGAAACCAATAACATAATAGATGTTCTTAACCTTTTATCAAAGGTAATTTATTTAAATGCATACATTAAAAATATATTCATTGCTATATTATTAAAATTATTAAATTGATTAATAATAAATGATTTTTTAATTAACTGAATAATAAGATTGAAATACCAGAAAGCATTATCGATTTAATTAAAGCCTGTACATTATCATATGGAAAAGTAAAACTTGTATTAAAACATAATCGATACTTTGTGGAATCATCTTATCCAGACATTTTACAAAAATTGTTACAAGATCCTATAATTTCAGAGGCTAGAATTATGAATAATGATGGATCTAATGATGAATTTTTAAAAGGTAAAGCTCCAACTGGAAAAGATTTAGTGATTCCCGGAGCTAATAAAAAACAGGACAATCCTGAAAACAAGAGCGTAAATAATAATGAAAATGATGTAAAAAATGACGATGATGGAATATTTAATACTGTTGTCGAAATAGATAAAGGTAGACCATAATAACGATATGATTTTAATTTATTTTAAAAAAAAACTTATATAATTTATATTTATTTTATATAGATGATGATGACGACGAAGATACAGATGAAGTACATTCATTTGAAATAAATTCTGAGAAATTTGAAGTAATTTTTATTTTTATTTTATCAATTTTCCTCGAGGTTTTTTTAATTTTATTTAATCATTTATATTGGGATAATTAACACTTATAGACTGTAAAGCGTCGTTGTAACGAGTTAGATTATCCTATGTTAGAAGAATATGATTTCCGTAATGACTCCAATCTTCCTACACTTGACATTGATCTTAAACCTATAACCGTTATTCGTCCATACCAAGAAAAATGTTTAAGCAAAATGTTTGGAAATGGGTACATGCTTGTCTAATCATTATCTCATATAATTTAATGATTACTTTACACATAATAATCCAAAAATTATTAATTTTTTAGACGTGCAAGATCTGGAATCATTGTATTACCTTGTGGTGCAGGCAAAACCCTTGTAGGCATCACTGCTGCTTGTACAATTAAAAAGAGTTGTCTAGTACTATGCACTTCTGCGTAAGTGATTTTCTTCCTTTTTGGAAAAGTAAAATGCATTTTTTTTTTAATTAATACTAAAACTTTACACACACACACACACACACGTATACATATTAAAAAATTATAGAGTGTCAGTTATGCAATGGAAACAACAATTTATACAATGGTCAAATATTAAAAAAAATCAAATTGCTGTATTTACTTCAGATCAAAAAGAAAAGGTTTTATTTATTTTTTTGGCATCAATGATACGATTGATATATATATTATTTTCGAATATATTACTAACTGATTTTATGTTTCACCTATTTATTATATATATATATAATAGTTTGTAGGTCAAGCTGGTGTTGTCATTTCAACCTATAGTATGGTAGCAAATACAAGGAACAGATCATATGAAGCAAGTAAAATGATGGATTTTATTATAGGCCGTGAATGGGGGTTCATACTATTAGATGAGGTTCACGTTGTACCAGCTAACATGTTTAGAAGAGTGGTAACAAAGATAGCTGCTCATACTAAACTTGGTCTGACAGCAACGTTAGTTCGTGAAGATGAAAAAATTGGTGATCTGAATTTCTTGATTGGCCCTAAACTTTATGAAGCAAATTGGATGGATTTAGCCTCAAAAGGTCATATTGCAAATGTTCAATGTGCTGAAGTTTGGTGTCCAATGACTCCAGAATTTTATTCAGAATATCTTAAAGCATCCTCACGGAAAAGAATGTTGTTGTATGCTATGAATCCGAATAAATTCCAAGCTTGCCAATATTTAATTCAATTTCATGAAGATCGTGGCGATAAAATAATAGTATTTTCAGACAATGTATATGCTTTAGAAGTAGGTACAAATAAACAAATATGTATGTATATATATAAGATACTTTTCTAATTAATTATATAATAATTAATTACTAGAAATATGCAAGACAATTACATGTTCCATTTATTCACGGAAAAACGAAACCTTCAGAGCGTTTATATATTCTTGGAAAATTTCAAAGTGATCCCAAAATTAATACAATTTTTTTGTCAAAGGTAAAATTAATTGTATAGCCTTTTTTAATTTTGTTTTCTTACACACACACATATATTAATATTTTTATTTAGGTTGGTGATACTTCAATTGATTTACCTGAAGCCACGTGCTTGATACAAATTTCTTCGCATTATGGTTCCAGACGTCAAGAAGCACAACGTTTAGGTAAATGAACAAATATATATATAATTTAAATATATATATATATATATATATGGAGTATTATCCATCTAATGTTTATTATTATTATTATTATTATTTAATTAAAAGGTCGTATTCTTCGAGCTAAACGTAGAAACGATGAAGGTTTTAACGCCTTCTTTTATTCATTAGTATCAACTGATACACAAGAAATGTATTATTCAACAAAACGTCAACAGTTTTTGATTGATCAAGGATATGCTTTTAAGGTTATAACATCACTTGAGGGAATGGAATCAACAGCTGATCTAGTTTATAAAACATTGGATGAACAAAAATCTTTACTTACTGAAGTATTATTGGCAAATGATAAAGACGCTGAACTAGACAACGACGTTGAATCCAATGCTGATGATTTGCCAGGTTCAATCACCAGCAGAAATTTCAATACACAACAAAAGAAAATTGGCAATGGTGGTGTAGTTAAAAGATCTGTTGGTAATATGAAAAGTTTATCAGGTGCTGATAATATGGTTTATACAGAAGTTGGTTCTGGGTCTTCTAATTTGGCTCGTCATGGTAATAATCACCATCGTCATCATACTAGCAATAAAAAAGAAAAAAAGCCTCAGCCGAAAGATCATCACCCCTTATTCAAAAAACAATGGGTCAAAAAAAAATAATTATATTTCTTTTTTAATCAATAATTAATGATTTATAGATATTTTTTTTTACTACAAAAAATTTACTTTAAAAATCAACAAAAAAAAAATATATATTATTGCTATATTTTTACAACTAAAATAATATTTTTAAAAAAAGAATCATATATTATTATATATTATTTTTTCGAGGGTTAATAAAAAATGATACCGTCACAGGCGGAATTAGGATTTTTAGGCCCCAATTTTTATTATTTTATTATGTATAAATGTTGATCATCTTTCCTGATTTATATTGTTCAATCGGCAGAAGTTAGTGCAAATTTAGTAATTGTCCAAGTTTGGACTAGTTTATTTTCATAGCGCAGCCAAATTCAATACACGTGATGATCTGCAATTTCATATAACGAACTTTTCACTTTATATATAATTACAAAAGGTTCGTGAACTTGTATTAGTAATAATAAAAGGGGATCTACTTGTAAGGACATCACACAAAAATATATGATTTACGTCAGACCTCCCTTATTTTGTGGAATGGAAATAAGTAGATCCTTCAAACAAAAAAAAATTTATAAAAAAACTTGTCAAATGGATAGTTGTGATGATAAAAGAATAAAATTTAAAAATTCAACAATGGATTTTACAAACAATACCCTAGCCAGTTCCTTCGCAAATTTGTCAATAAGAGATAATACACCTTTGTTGGATAACAAGTTAAATACTTCTGTTGTTCAATCAACTATTGTTAAAAATTCCAAAGAAAACAACGACGAAGATAAGACTAATGACAATGGATTATTAAAATCTTTTGAAGAAAACGAAAACTCTAAATCAGTTCAAAAAAAACCTATTTCATTTGAAACTCTAAAGAAAAAGACCACAAAAGAAATAAACATTACTTTAGCCGACAAATCTGAGTATACAATACCTCCTGCAATTGCTGAAGATGTCTTAAGAGAAATGCTTGCAAACAAACCAACTAAAGATTTGCTAGAAGAACTTGAGTCTGCTCCTGTATTAACTAATGGTAAAAGCGAAAATAGTAGTTCTTCGAAAATTAAAGGAGTTGGCAGTGTTAGTATTGATTTCTCAACAAAACATGAAAAAAATGGTGAGTCAAATTTAATTAATTAATAATATAATTAAAAAAAAGAATAATTAATTAATTTCTTTTAACATGACATAGATTCTACTTTTCCACCTAAATTCAATTTTCCTAATATCGAAGATAAAAATTTTTTTCTGCCAAATTTCACAAACCTTTCCACAAAGCCCTCACTTACCTCTTTTTCCTTTGGTAATTTTTCCGAGTCATCTTCTCAAAATTCTACTCAAAAAACCTCTGTGCCACCACCAGCTCTATCTTCACTTTCTGCTCGCACTAATATTAGTAATCCCGTTACCACCAGCAATGCTTCATCTACCACATCTTCATTATCACCACCTTCATCTTCATCGTCATCGTCATCTTCTAATAATAATAATAGTAGTAGTAATAACAACAACAATAATGTGGCCACCAATGATTCACAACAAAAAGATCAAAAACGGGTAACAATTCAGCTACATCCGCCAGTACTTGATAAATTTTCTCCTCAATTGCCATCAAAAACTCCTTCGATAACGATGCCGTCAAGTTCTATATGGCCTCCACAAATTAGCACTTCATCTCCAACTGACACACATTTTTCAAATTCTAATTTATTATTTTCTCAATTCACTGGTTCTTTCAAATTTGATATAAGTCCTAAAAGTATTTCTGGTGGATCACCATCTAACTATCTTCCTCAACAATCGACAACAAATACAACACCACCAACAACAACTTCAACGAAACCACCAAATAAGCCTACCATTTCATCTCCATCAATAATATCATCTTCAACTGCATCTGGTAATAAAAAAGGGGTGCAGAATAATATAAATACAGGTAGCTCTAATGCTTATTTAACTGTATCGACAAATCAATCAATAAAAAATATGAAAAGTTCTAATAAAAATAACGATGAAATTATATTGCCAAAATTATTAGCGTCTTCTTCATCTATCAAAAAAATCTCAATCAAGTTTGGTGATATATCAAATACAACTTTGGCCTCGTCTGTGTCCACTAAAGGACCTACAATTAACGTTAATAGTAATAATAATGGTACACCTTCTTCTTCTTTACAAACTTCACCTCCCAGAGGTTTTGCCCATAATGCCACAAATACTTTTCCCTTCTACAGACCAATTCGTCCATTACCTTCACGTGCCAAATCTCGTTTATTGTCAAATGCTAATCTAAATAATAATGATTCTAAAAATGCCAATAATAGTAACACGAGTACTAATATTAATAATAATAATAGTATTAGTAGTATGAATAAAAGTAATAATAACAATAGTAGTAGTAGTAATAGCGATAGTAATAATAACAATAGTGATAGTAATAGTAACAATGATAATAATTTTAATAAAAATTTTATAAGTAATATTGAATTTTTTACAAAGAATGATAATATATCAGCATCATCAACATCAACAATATCTCAACAATCTGTTCCTGTCATACCACCATCACCATTGTTTTCATTTGCAACACCAACGAACTCTGAAGACGATGATGATTTTGATGCAGATGATGATGATGGAAGTAATGATAATGGTCATACTGATTGGTTAGATAATGCCAATAATAAAAAGAAAAGAAAGGCTTTACAGACTGTTGGAATTAGTTCAACAGCTAGTAGTGGAATTGGTGGAGTAATGAAAAATGTGACTGCGAAAGAAAGAACAAATCCATTAAGAAGAGTTGAAAGAAGGTCAGTTCAACGTAATAATAATAATAATAATAATAATAACAATAACAATGACAACAATACAAATAAAATATCAAACAATGATTCAATTTCTAGTTTTGACAACAAATCTGTTAATAAAGAAACGTATAGTATGCGACCACCGCAAACAACATTTGATTTCTCCTTTAAATCAATAACAGAAAAATCGGCAGCGGCAGCGGCAGCAAGCGTTAATGCAGCAAGTGCAAAGCGATTGGCTGCTGTTTCACCGATTCAAACGATGAATTCCAAGAACGATCCTTTTTCTTCATCATTATTTCTACAACAATCACATTCTACAGTAATAACCATAAATCCACAAAATAATTCAAAGAAAAAAACATCAACGAAACGTTCTGCACCTTCATCATCATTATTTAAAAGTGAAGATAGCACGCATAATAACAATCAGTATGCTAAAGTATTACCACCACCACTACCTCCAACTACTCCCAAAAGGTTGCCTAATGCAGGACGTAAAAAAAATAAGAAGAAATCACAATCTGGTAACAACAACAACAACAATAACAACAACAATAATCAAAATATCCCAAGTCAGCATCCGCCTCATCAAAATCCCCATCAACATAATCAAAATCAGCAACAGCAGCAGCACCAGCAGGATGACACGTCATCTACTTCTGGTTCAGTAGATATTCAACCTGCACATAATAATACTTCAAGACGTAAGATTAAGTTTTCGGAAAAAAACGGTGATTGGATTTGTATTTTCTGTCAGTATCGATTATATTATGGTGATGGAAGACGATTTCGGAGAAGAACGAAATCAAATAACTCAAATAATGGAGGAGATGGAGGAAATCCAGGAGATGGAGGAAATGTGCCTGATAAGACTCTTGCAACTTAGAATTGGCTGGTCGTTTATGATATTAATAAGTTAAGTCGATTTTAATTAGGAACTTTTCAAATTGTTGTTTTTAATAATCTAACAAAATTAAATAATTTCAATAGTATTTTTTATTTTATTTTATTTTTTTATTAAAAAAAAATCCATACATACATACTTACATATATATATATCTATACAAAAAAAATAATAATTTTTTTTATTTAAATGTTCAATAATTAATCAAAATAATAATAATAAAAAATTAATAATAATAATAAAATCAAAGAAGAAAAAAAATGTACGGGCATTAAATGACGGTGCCCGAAGGAAGGTTTTTCTTTTTTTTTAAAAAATTTTTTATCATTTTTTTTTTTTTGCATTAAATGTAAAAATTTTTTTTTAATTTGTATTGAAATGTTCATGTTCTTTTCTTTCTATTGAAAAGAACATGATAACATTTATAGTAGGTATGACTCGTAATTTCTTTCTCATTTTAGATTAGAATTGCGATCAAGTATTGATCAAGTAGATGAAGCATCACTGTTCGGATTCAAACCTAATATCTCGTCATCGTCATCGTCATCGTCATCATCATCGTCATCATCATGTACTTTCTTACTCTTTATCGCGATTAACAACACTTGAAATTTTTTATTAAGAGAATTATACGCACCCTATATGTAGGTATAATTCATTAATGTTTTCTGTTTGATTGTATAATATTCTTTAAAACCATCCCCTTTTTTTAAAGATATTTACTTATTTGTAAAAGGTTTCAAGATGTAAAAATAATTAAAATAAAAATATTCTATTACAGAGACTTTAATGTGAATATTAAAATTTTTGTTTATTTGAATTGAGTTTGTGTTGTTGTTTTTTTTTTTGTTTAATAAATCGAATTTGTTGCCTAATAAATAATTTGTCGTCAATAAATAATAAATTATGGTGATGATTTGATGATGGTAATGATGTGAATATCATGTTGTTACAATGTATAAGCAGTTCTATATGTTCTAAATTTTTTATTTGAAAGTATATATTATTATAAAAAATAAAATTTGATGAAAAATCATTCTAGTTAAAAACTAATAAAAAAACCATATTAATAATAAAAATAAAATAAAACAGTAAATCTTTCTCAAGTATCATATATATATATATATATATATATATATAAATATATCATTAATTAATTTCAATAATCATCTTCATCATCGTCATTATTATTTTCCGAAAATCCAAAAATAGTTTTTCTTTCTGGTTTCTTTGAAACTTCCAAGTTTTTTATTACACCTAATAATATAAATGTGAGTGTGTATTCATATTAATTAATAAAAGTATTGATCAATTAGATAATCAGGTAAAGATATAAGTTTTGATGGATAAGTTATTACCACATTGAGATAATCGAAATTCTAGTGCAGCTGTAGTGAAAGAATCAGTGTTTCCAAGATCTTCAAATCCAATTATGCTAAAAAAGTGATATATGTAAATTATAAATTAAAAAAAAAATAAAGTAAAAGATAAATAACGTTTTTTTGCCAACCGATCAACAGAAATTCCATCAATAAAAGATATAACGCAAGGTAAGATTTGTATATTAAGTTTTTCAATCAAAAATGGAGAATTTTCTACGTTGATCTTTACAAATTTTGTCTTGAAATGTTTATTTGCAATTATCTAATAATAATAATAATAATAATTAATAATAATAATAATAATAATTAATAATAATAATAATTAATAATAATAATAATTAATAATAATAATAATAATAATAATAATAATAATAATAATTTATTAACAATAAAAAAATAACGATTAATAGTTAATATTATTGGAAAAATATATAAATACCTTGAGATGTTTATCCATTATTTGACATCTTCGAAAATCTTTATGAAAAAAATGTACTACACATAAATTGGTTGATGTAGTTATTTTAAGTATCTCTTTTTCATTATCAATTTCCACATATGATCCATGATCATTTTGACGCATTTCTTTAAGTTTTTCCATTCTGTTTTATCGTCAATCAGATAATCTTTATTGTTATCATTTTATCACTATTATTATTGTTGACTATTCTCTCAAAAAAATTTTTTTATAAAATTATTATTAATTATTATTTCAATGACATACTCTTGTTTTAATTGTTCCATTCGTTTTTCACGTAGATTAGTAAGATCAAAGTCATCGTTTTCTAATTCTTCAAACAATTTTTCATCATCCAAATCTTCTTCAGATGTTCCACTTTTGTTGGTTTCTGTAATTTTATCTAAAACCTCTTGAACACGTTCATCAACAGTATCTTCACTAGTTGAAAAATAAGATTATTGTTGTTATTTGTTATTAAATTTGTTGATAAAAATGATTTTGTATATGTAATTTGATTTTATACTTTTGATCCTCAAGGCAATTTGAAGACATTTTGTTAAATTTTATTTTTGCTATTAAAAAAAATAAAAAGTGTATAATTTAGTGAAAGTTACACTAGTACTAATTTTTTAATTGCATATTTCCAGCACCACCAATGATGAACTACATATTTTATTCTCCATACGTTACTCTTCAAATACAAATCTCACCAGATACAAATGACTAAAGAAAGATATCAAGTAAATTTTCTGATGATAGATAGACTTTCTGATATCAAGAAAACTAAAAGTTGCCATAGAAATATCCAAGAACATTCCAAAAGTTTGCGCTAAAACAAGAGATAAATATTCGGATTGAATTGAATAACGAATGGATGAATGTCTTGCTGCGGGAATCATAAAACCAAACGTGATTATTACATAGTCAAACCCGTTAAACCGAAGACGTTTGTGCAGTGGCGAGTGGTCTTACCTGCTGATTAATCGAATATTTTGGTAATCGGTCAAAGAAGTTAACACTCGAACAATCAGTCGAATTAAAATCTTAGCAATCAAATAATAGTAAATACCTGATTATAATGATGATGATGATGATTATCCCGATTATCCGTATTATCTGTATATGTACAAAAAATGGTTTTTAAGCCATTTTTTTATTTTATTATTTCAAAAGAAAGTATTATTATATTTCCATTAAAATATATAGAGGTTGGTATATCAATCTTGGTGTTACCAGTTTTTATTGACATAGAAATAAATAAAAATACCAAAACATCAATCTTTTACTTTTTTTCTTTTGGGCGGAACTTATGACTAGAGTTTCTATTCGTAATACAACTAAATTTTAATATTAATTCCAATTTATTCGAATTATTCGTTTTATTCGTTATTCGGATTATTCGAATTATTTGTTTTGTCTAAATTATTTTTATTCGAATAGAAACCCTAATATGACTATTTACTAGTAGAAAAAAAGATTTAAATTATTATCATTATTATCATTGTCACTACAAAGGAAAGGTCAATTACTACAACTATTATTATTAATCGAATAAAGAAAAAATGTCAATTACTTCTGCCACTACTATTATTATTATTATCACTACAATGACTGCGAAGGAAAAATAGAGCTGACAAAGAAAAAATTTTTTTTTTAATTGAATTGATAGTGCATATACTATTACTATCGGTTATATTTGTTCAAATTTGCCAGTTAAAAGATTTCACGTGATTAAATTAACTGATTAATAAAAAGTTAACCGATTGAAGAATTTTTGCGCGATGCCAACCTCTAATTAAAAAACAAGGTAAAAAAATATTTCGTAGTAAATCTGATTAATCGTCGATGAATTTTTTACATTCGATTGATCGGATATTTTATTCGGTGGGTAAGACCACTATTGTGCAGCCACTCTCAAAAACTGAAGATCGGTGTCCGATTGGTTAAAATAAACTCGGATTACCGAAGTAATTTAAATACAAAAAAAATATCGGACTAATATTAATTGCGTTTTTTTAAAAAAAACTCAACGAGGTTAACTATATATAGTAATATCATTGTCTCCTATATTTTATTGTAATTTTTTTTACATGAAATAATATAATACACAAAAAACAAACTTTGTTAGAGAGTAACATTAGAATTTCCGAATTGGTTAGCTATATTTTCTCTCAAAATAGTAATATATAGAAAGCTTAATATTGATTTTCATATGGCGTCTTTTTAAAATGAGATTTAAGTCTCCATGGCAGGTTACACGTAATTAACCAGAAGTGTATTTGTGTTCCTTTCTATTGAAAAGACGCCATATATACATACAATAATAATAACCTTTTTATGAATGAGAACTTTCAATATATAAGTTATGTAGCCTTTTAAGATAAATAAACTAAAAGGATGATGACATTTAAAAAGGTTTTGGTGATTTATGGCATTCCCCTTATATCAACCAATCAATTTTGGGATATTTTTTTGGATGTGAATTTTTGAATTTTTGTTTATAATAACTAATTTTTAAAGAACTAACTTAATATAGTAATAGATAGACTCCGATAAAAATTTCCCAAATTGGGTATTCCCCCGATATTTTTCACATTTTCGCACGCCTGATGGCACCAAAACAAACATATTTGACATGTTTGACACGTGTATATTTAAATACCCAAAATATGGGTTACTTGCCGATCATCAAAACTAAAAATTTTATTATCCTGTATATAAATAAAAAGGAATTTTTTAAAAAAATCCTTGCAACCTTTGTTGTATAAGTGAAAAAATGTGCCTCATTACTTAAATCCATGAAAATCATTTAAAGTTTTTTTGTCATGATAATCTCCTTTGAAAAATTTATTAATGAGTTAAGAGAAGGAAATGATGATGATGGCGTATATTTTTTTTTTTCAAGAAGATAATACACCATGTCATAAAGTAAATGGATGAAAGAAGAAAATAATGTTATGGTTCTTCCCTGACCTTCCCAGGCCCAGATCTTGAAAGATTTAAAAAGAAGACTCAGATTATTTTAATACTAAATTAACCAGGAATAATTAATAAATTAATAGATATCATTTAGAAATTGATCAATTTTAAAAAATACAATTGTTTGTAAACAACAGGTTTTTTTTTTTTTATATGCAGTGAAACTTTCGGTATATCTTGATAATGTTGATCGGGATAATAATTTGATATATTATATTTGACAAATAATTTTTTAAAAATTTTTTTACGTTATCGAAAAAAAATTTTTATAATTTATAATAATAACAAATAATGTCACCACTATCTAAAACTTTTGGCTCACAAACTTTGGTAGATACAACATCACAAACTACTAAAAATGCTACATCGTCTTCTCAAATATTCACCAAAGAAACAGTACCATCAATTCTCGAAATAAAAAAACAGATTCCTTCACAATGTTTTTCTCCATCAATATTAAAATCACTTCAATATGTAATTTTAGATTTATCAATAATAGCCGTATTGTTCTTTTTATTTTTTTTCATTGATAAAACAACCTTGATCCCTGAAATCGTCAAAGATTTATTAATTCTTCCAATCTACTCGTTTGCCCAAGGAACAATGTTTTGGGCAATATTTGTATTGGGACATGATTGTGGGCATGGAAGTTTCAGCCGTTATCCTTTGTTTAATGATATAATTGGTACTTTTCTACATCTTTTAATTCTTGTTCCATATACTCCTTGGAAGTTAAGTCATCGTCACCATCATAAAAATACTGGTAATATTGATAAAGATGAAGTATTTTTCCCTGTGAGAAAATCCGACACAAAAAATACGCTCAGTGGCAAAGAAGAAACAATCGTTACACCTTATTTCGCCTTCGGTATTGGTTGGGCTGTTTATTTGATAATAGGCTATGGTCCAAGAGCTATCTGTCATTTTAACCCATTAGATCCTTTTTTTAAAAACCATCGTACCGGTGCTTCTATTTCAGTGATTGGTGTTTTCTCGTTTTCGGCACTACTTTATTACTTGTCAACACTTTATGGACCTTGGAATATCATAAAATATTATTTTCTTCCTTTGTTAATATTTGCCTCTTGGTTAGTAATAACAACATTCTTACATCATCATGGAGTTGAAAATAATTTAAAACTTCCTTGGTACGCTGATGAACAATGGTCTTATGTGCTTGGAAACCTTTCCTCCGTGGATCGTGATTATGGTCTACTTCATAATGTGGTGCATACCATCGGCACACATCAGGTTCATCACCTATTCCCTTCAATTCCTCATTATTATCTCACAAGTGCTACAGAAGCTTTTCAAAATAGATATCCGCAATTAATACGCGAATCAAAAGAACCTATACTGAAAACATTCATCAATATGTATCATGTTTGGAGATCTCAATATCTTATTGCGGACGATACAAAAGTTTTTGTCTATCAAGAAATAAATGACAAGATAAATGATTCAAAAAAACAAAATTAATGATTTTTTAGTTTTTAAAATCTTTACTTTTTCATTTTTAAAATCTTCACTTTTAGTTTTCATTTTTTAAAATCTTCACTTTTAGTTTTCATTTTTAAATTTTATTTTGTTTATTTTGATAATAATAATAATAAAGTAGTCATCTAGAAATGATGAAATTGAATAAATTTAATCAATATGAAAGCATACATAATAATAAATATAAATAATTGATTCCGAACCGTAGCTAAAGCTCTCAAGTTTCTGGAAAATAACAATTTCCATGATACCTGAAATTTTGACCAATTACAGTTCAAATAAATAAAGAATATGTTCTATTCTCCTTGATTAACACTCAAAAGTTTGGATGTCTACTTTATAAAAAATAACACATGAAATTTCCGTATATTAGATGCATTCTAAAAAATAAAGGAATTAACAAGTGTAGAAGGTATGTGGCATATTATTATTGATTATCCCTGTAAAAATTTATTCCGTGATTACGCTCAGTGTTTTTCCGTTTATATTAAATAATATAAATTTCCGTTTTTTCCCATAAATGTACCATATTCACTGAATCTATAATTCAGTTTTTTCATAAAAAACAGATATTTCACTGGAACACAAATTGATAAAATGGAAGAATGGTCAGGATATCCGTTGACCATTCATTCACTGACAGATCCTGGACGGACATCGGGTATTATGTGCATTTTATTAACCATTTAATTACTGAATTTTTACTGAATTTTTTTTATATATACTGATTTGTTAGTTATTATTTTTTTATTAACACCCATTCGAAACTCGGCTTTTTTATTTTTTTTTCTTTGACCCTTACCTCTGTACCAATGTTTGCCTCTTATCCATTACACTATATGATTTTTTTAATTATAGGATATTTTATTGTTCTATAAAAAAAATTTATACTGAAAATATACTGAAAACACATGGAAAATACACGGATTTTTTACAAAATAATTAAACAGAAATGATGAAAAATACAGCATTAATATTAATATTAATATGGATAACATATATCGAATTTCCAGAAAATCTTTGATCAAATTTGTATCTATATATAACTCGAAAATTTAATATTAATATTAAAATTAATTAACCAACACTAGATGAGCTCTACAAATCTTGGAAAGCAAGTTTTGTAAAATATACCGATGAATGCTTTAAAATATTTCTTTACCTATTACCGTATATTTTTGTATCTTGCTAAGTACTTGATCGAATTGAGTGATCCTAGATTCAAAATAAAGCCTGACTTCTATTGCACATAATATTCAAAACTCATTTATAGTTAATATTTAGTATATTCGCGTTTTAATAATAATATTAAATATCTCTTTACATTTCTCTTTTCTTTTTGACAATTGGTATATTATTGTTGTTTGCCCATATTATCTAATTATTTTAATCGTTATTATTTCACCCCAAGAAGAGCAGGAAGCATGAAATCGTTTAAATAAGTTGCTACACACTTTCTATAATCGATTTCTCCAAAAAGTTTTAACTGAAATGGGAACCGACATAAAAGAAATCATCCCCCTTTTTGTTAAAGGAACCGTTACTAATTCTGCTAATTATCACGAACATGTCGAATATTGTAAAAATCATTTTTTGAAAGGAGAGTTGTAGGATAAAATGTAAAAGAAAAACTTTAAACTACAAATATTCATAACAATATAATTATTTGCATTTACTTCCATTTGGATGCGTCAAAAAATTTTATTATTTTACAACCTGCGGGGAATGTCATGTGACTAGTTAATTAATACAGTTAACCCCCCTAAATGCACCCCCTCTCTAAATGCACGCTTTCACTCATTCCCAAGCTCGGAACTTAAGAGATAAGTATACCTGCACTGCACGGTCTTTTTTCATTCCCAACTATATAAAGCCAGGGTTGTGCAATTTCGCTGTACGAGAAGAATCTTCGTACGTACGACTGACTTCGTACCATTGAGTTCGTACAGTT